TATATATTGTTACATTATTTACTTAAATAATCATTATATTGGCAACTATTATAACACTAAGTATTTTTAAATCAATATTTTATTGATCAAATTGTTTTATTTATTTCTTATATATTATATTAGTTTTTCATCTAATTTTTACATATTCTCATTGCCATTTGAAATTTTTTCTTAAATAATTTTCAAATAACCTATGGTAATAGTAAATTCTTTACATCCTTGACTATTTTTGCTCTTATAAGAAATTATTTAGAATAGGTAAAATTGTAGACTAAAAACACACTCACTCATTAGAATCCCATGTATTGTTATCATTTTTTCTAACATCTAATGATACAAATAAGATGTTCACTGTCTATTTAATACTATGTTCATTTAAGAAAATTATGTCAAAAAAGCAACGGGAATTACTTATGATTTTATGAATTTAAATTCACTTATAGGAAGTTGTTAGGGGAAAATTATATATCTGAATACTTATTGGCCATCATTCATATCAAAATCTTGGCCAAAAAAAAAAAATACAAATAAGACTTTTTAGGTTACTACCTATTACTTGGGATTCCTGGCTGACCAAATGTGGAGAAATGGTAAAATTAATTCAAGAAGGCAGGGTGAGCAGTTAAATAATGTCAAAATTGAATCAAGTATTAGTAATTTTTAGTGAATGGAATAACATAAGAGTTGGATAAATCAATCTATGTGAACAGCAATGTCAGAACATGAGCTTGGAGAGACCTGCATTGCACTCTTTTTGGGTGCTAGAGATATAGATGCCAATATAAAAATTGGCCTACATGTTGCAGAAGGAGAGTGAAAAATCTGAGAAGTATAGCTATGGTTTAGTGTATTACTAGCTGAAGGTCAGAGCAGAAGTCTTAAGGTCAGAGCAGAAACAGGTCACTCTGTGATTGTGCATTGCAATACTATAACTTAACCTTAGTATATAAATGTATAACTTGACAAAATATAATTTGAGACTTATTTTGTTTTCTCTCTAAAAATGATGAACTTTGTCACTAATAACCAGGTAGAAAATGGGGCCTTACAGAGAATGGAATATAAATGTGTGCTGGAAAAATGATAGATTAGAGTCATGATTAACCCTGACCACTTACCTCGTACTGTGGAATATAAAATACCGATAAGCACAAGGTAAAATACCATCAGAATCATTACCAAACTTGCCATATACCATATCCAGTCATTATACAAAGGAAAAAAAGGATCTGAAATAGAAACTGCAAAAGGTGTAAAAATTAGAAAATTAATTAAACTGAGAACAAGGGGGTGCTGGGAACCAATTCCAACATGTCTTAATTACAAGAGTTTCACCAAAAGGTTGGTGAAGCTTGGGCAGCTCAACAAGGGTGAGCCACATAGTAGTTTACCTGTTGGAATGGCTAAACAGCACTTCCCCCAAATCTGAATAGGATTGTCTGCTGCCAGATAGCTCAGGGCATTTTATTGCCTCCAATTGGCCAACCACCTAAACAGCTATTCCCCAAACTGATAATGTTTCTGTACCCTTTGAAACCTTACCCTTTAAAGTGTATATCTCCACCTTGCCTTAGGACAGATTATATTAAATAAATAGCATGGTTCCATAGACAAGGAAGTAGTCTTCAATTCCTTTATCTGAAGATCCTCTGAAATCCCCCCCCCCCCCCAACGGCTTTCAAAATTATCTTTTGTCTTTGGACTCCTTTTTAATCTATGCATCAGCTCCTTTCTCCAGATTGCTGAATCCTTTACAATGCTGGGACAAGAATCCCGGCAAAGGGGAGAGAATATTCAAGAACCAACATTTAGTAACTTTATTTGTACTGATAGTTTAGTATTTAAAAGCCATAATTTTACTACTTAAAATGGACTAATCCAATTAATCCTCATAACAACTATATAAAATAGACACTAATATTCTTTTATTTTCTTATTATTAATTTTGAGTTCATGTTCTGATAAGTTGAGACTTGGATGAGTAGAAGAGATTTTATGTTTGGGAAAGATGTGGATCTTTGGGGATGAAACAGACTATCATAGGCAGAATGGACAGCACCCCCTTCTGAGAGATACCTATACCCCAATCCTTGGAACCTGTAAATATTTTGCACTGCATGGAAAAAGAGGTTTTGCAGATATAATTTTAAGGTTATGAACCTTAAAATAGGAAGATTTTTCAGGAATATTTAGGTGGGGAAATCTAATCATATGAACCCAAGAAAGCAGAGATATTCTCTGGTTGCAGTCAGAAATATATGGCAGAAGGAGAAGTCAGAGATTACAAATGCTTGAAAGGGACTTGACCCACCATTTTTGGCCGAGCATCATAAAAAGCAAGTGAAGCCCTGACTGGTTTGGCTCAGTGGATAGAGCATCAGCCTGCAGACTCAAGGGTCCCAGGTTCAATTCTGGTCAAGGGCATGTACTTTAAGTTACAGGCACATCTCCAGTAGGTGGCATGCAGGAGGCAGCTGATCAATGTTTCTAATTCTCTATCCCTCTCCCATAAAAACATGAATAAAATATACTTTAAAATAAAAATAAATAAAAATAAAAAGCAAGTGAAGAAATCCAGGCAGCTTCTAGTCCTTCTGCTAATAATCAGCAAGGAAATGGAACCTAAGTACTACAACTACAAACAACTGAAATTGTCCAACAAACTAAATAACTTTGGAGGTACATGAGTGAGGCTCTGAGTATAATCTATCCTGAGGTAAAATTCTTTTTCATCATGGATTGTGAAACTAGAATAAATGATCTCTTCATCTTATAATGGTGCAATAGGCATAGGAAAGCCATTATAGACATTCCATTGAAATGAAGAGAAAATGATAAGAAAAACATGTAGTTACTACTACCAAACAATACAAATTTCTAAGGGGCAAACGCCTTAGGTTTCAAGTCCTGAGGATAATTCTCTAGGACTCGTGGATTTGGCCTCTGGACCTGGAGTCCTTATTCTAATTTCAAAAAGGATAGTATATGATAGTAGGCTGGATAATGAACTCCAAAGATATTAAATATCTAACCCATGGTATCTTATGCAGTAAAAGAGTATTTGCAGATGTGATTAAGTTAAGGATCTTAAAGTAGGGACCTTATTCTAAATTATCTGGTTGGGCTCAATGCAATCACTAGTACTCTTATTAGAGGGAGGCAGTTTATTTTAAACACAGAGGAGAAAATGTGGAGATAGAGCGGAGAGAAATTTAAAGATGTACATAGAGGAATGGGCCATGAACCAAGAAATAAAAGGATGAAGCTCTAGAAATTGTAAAAGACAAGAAATGAAATTTTCGTAGACCTTCTGGAGGATGCACAGTCTTTATGACAACTTGGGTTCAGCTGAGTGATACATGTGTTGCTCTAAGACACTAAGTTTGTGGTAAATTGGTACAGTGGCCATAGGACAGTAATATCTGTCTGCATCTTTACAGTTTTATTGTCTTGTTTTCTGTCAATAAACTTTAGAAATTCAACAGTCTTCATTTATTTTATCTTTCTGACCTGGTTAGTGCAAGTTGGCAGTTTTTCTGCTGGTATAACATTCTCAAGAGCCTTGAAGTTTTCCTCTGTGTGTTATAGGGACAAACTCTATTAGATAAGAGATCCCTCAACAGATGTTTCCAGGATAATATAATAAGTATTTCTAGTTCCTGCTGATATTGCTGAAGATATCCATGAGTCAACATCTAATCTAATCTAATCTAATCTAATCTAATCTAATCTAAATATGCAATCCTCTGCGTGATTGGATACTCTGATTTGATTTTATTCCTCCAAGATTTCAGCAAAAGATTTTCCAAACACACACTAGGCTTTCTCTATAGGGCACACTTTACTAACAGTGACTCTCCTAATTTTTCAATGGAAAGAGTTGAAAAGTCCTATATATGCTGTTGGTCGAGTCCTATTAAGCATGAGGATAGGAACTGACGGAAGATAGAGAGCCATAGAGAGCCCTGCTGGTAACCACCCTAATTCTCTAACATTCTTCTTTGTGGTTTAAAAGCAATGCTTAAAGTAAAATAAAGTTTCAGGGGTTTTTTTGCTTGTTTGGAGTTATTATCTTATATATACATTTCCTTATATATACATTTCTTTAAATAATTAAGAATTGTCAAATCATATTTTTAAATATTATTATATTATGCTTGCTGGTTTGGCTCAGTTGATAGAGCATCAGCCTGTAGACTGAAGGGCCCTGGGTTTGATTCTGATCAAGGCTTATACCCGGGTTGCAGGCTCAATCCCCACCCAGTGGGGGGCATGCAAGAGAAAGCTGATCATTGATTCTCTCTCATCATTGATGCTTCTCTCTCTCTCTCTTCCTCTCTGAAAAAAAAAAAAAAGAATATTATTATGTTATTTTATCAACTTTATCTCTAAGTGATAGCCACGTTTTATAGATATTAATTAAGTGCAAGGAAGGATTTCAATGTTTCATATGCTTTCTGAAATTACATGCAAACTGAAGAGGTATATGTAAATATTACTCTCAGATGGAACATTGTATATTCAATGTAAACACTAAGCTGCAAATAGATAAACACTAACTTATTGGTAGAGTCATGAAGGCACACCATCAGTGGCCCAGTAAAGTAAATGAGTGGTTAGACTCCATATTTTCTGGAGCCAGAATGTGTTTTTCTCCTTGTAGTGGAAGGGCTATATCCTTAAGCACAGTTGAGAACATCTTTAGTAGTTACAGGACCCTCAGTCCTTGACACCCACAACAATCTTAGTCTTGGGATTTGGTCCTCTAAGATGTCACCCAAACCACTGATCTTCCTGGTGATAATGAGAGAGTCACAAAGCTTGACTAAGCAACCCCCCAGGAAACAGATATCCAGGAAAAGGGAAAGTCCCTGAACCCATTTACCTTGTCTCCGGAAGATCGCATATATACTGAGCGTTGCAACAAAGCAGAGAAAACCCACTGCTTGAGCACAAATTGAGTTCATCATGTGAATTAAGTCACATGAAAACTCTGGAACAGAGAGAGTTAGAATTAATTAACGAGGAATGCAGCAATTGTGGGCATCACTGACCTAAGGACCATTATAAAAAAAAAAAAAGCACAGCTATTATCCCATGCCCACTCAACCTAGACAGGACTCAGGATATGAGTTTAGTTTGTGAGTGATGGCAGGGCCTAGTAAGATTGGACTTGTAGACTAATAGGGCTAAGAAAAGTTTCCATTCCTAGTTCTCACTACCTAACCTACCACAAAATTAATCTGTCTGGGAGGACTAGAGAGAGGCCTTAGGAATCTTCATCAGATTTCTGGGGATTCTGAGGATTGCGGGACTGACCAGATGTAGCTGTAATGACACTGAGCTGGCTGAAAGAAAAATCTATCTGTATCCACAGACTGAAATATTTAAACCTTTCAGCTTGAATTCCACTGTCAAGGAGCTTATTTTTATAAGCTAACCATAGATGATTAAAATGTTTTTCTGTGTATTACTAGAATATGTATTTTTTTTTTAAATCTGTGTCACCTTTCAGAGGAAAATAACAAGAACAATTAGGTTCTTTCTAAAGAAACTCAATTGTAGTAAAATTATGATTCCCACTCAAAGAGTTTCATGGAGAAGCAATGAAATTCTAATCATTGTTATATTGTATAATGGGCAGATATGTATCAGTAGGTTAGATTTTCACAACGAAGAAAATCCCCATGATACTATGCAACAGGCTGCTACATGAGTTGATAAGCTTCACAACCATTAAGGTGTGCAGGCAGAAACCTGACACTAAATACTGGGAAGAAGCACAATATTTAGAGCATGAGAATTGGAGCCAAACACATCTGCATTCCAATCTTGGCTCTGCTTATGAACTATGTGAGTCATCCCATCCTCATCCATCAAATGATGACAATAATAGCACTGCCTTTTAGGCTTAAATTAGATAAATTCTGTGAAATTATTATCACAATGTCTAGCATAAGGTAGGCACTGAATAAATATGATATCAGGTTTTAAGGATCTGGTAAAAAAAAAAAAAAAAAAAAAAAAAAGAGCACAATAAATTGTATCCTCTCTGTTGACTCATCTCCTCATCTCCATTTAATTGTCTACTCCATCTCCAAATTCACATCCCTCATCTAGCAGTTTACTCAACTATATATGAGCTATTTTGCTTGGTCATATTTTAGAAGAAGAGTTGTTTTTAATAAAGTCTGTTGTACATGTACATGATGGGCCACTGTATCATTCAGTGATCTGTTCATAAAGAAAGATGATATAGTCATTTAGTTTAGCCATAAAACCCTAGGGAACAGTCTGGTTACAAAGGACTTGTTGGCTTAGAGGTCTATTTCTTTTTCATGTTAATTTTGTTCTAGTCCTCAAATGGAGATAGTATCTTAAACATTGATGGCAATCTGTGCAGGCAAGGAGATTGTGATCAAATGAAGTGTATCCTAGATACATTTAATTTTGATTGGATAGACTCTTACCTAAGAGAGGAAGCACTCCCGGGGAATACAGAAGCAACTGGGCCTATGCAGCTCAGGAGACATGTATATTGACCTTATTCCTCTAAAAACCCTTGTTCTGGGAAGCTCCTAATTGAGAGGTGTGGAGTTTAACATTTCTAAAGTGAGAAACAAGCCCTAAATCATTCTATGTAAGATTTAGCACTTGTGACAAATATCATGCTGCTCTATTTAAGCCCACCATGTGACACATTAAGAAAGATGCCCTAAATGACTCTTACCTTTGTTGTAGCAGTTGCCTATTCTTTTGAATATCTCTCGAGAGAAAAGGAACACAAAAACAAAACACAGCATCACACAGAAAAGTGGAATGAAAGTCATTAGCAAACTGTGGACAGGAATAAACAGGTCACCTGAAAGAAAAAGCAGAACAATTTGAAGTTCAATAAATGCATGACAAGCACCACTATCACGTTAGAAATTTTACTGGTAATAAGCAGGATTCCCCTTCAGGTCCTGCATTGTCTTTATTTATCTATTTATTTATTTTTGGGTCAAGGCAGTGAAACAGTTTTAGTGACAAGTACAGACCTTAAGATTGAGCTCGTTTGGAGGACAGAATTGAAACTGAAGCCAAGTGAAATGAAAGAAGTCTCTCTTGTCTCTTATTAATATAAAGCATAAATGCTTCCTGATTATAAAGGAAACAATCAAGAAGAAACCTGGACATCATAAGTCATGCTGGGGTTGAGAAGCTCAGTGGCTGTAAGAGATCTTCAGAATTATCTAAAGAGCTCTTAGGGTGTAAGGATAATGTATACAAAGATATTTATTTTATGGTTTGCATTTTTGACAAGGTTATCTCTTATAAAGTATTTTCCTTGGAAATAGTCTGTTTAAGATGTAGCATTTAAATTCTAACCTACATGAAATTTATTTTTGTATATGGTTGCATGCATGAGTCTTTTTTATAAAATAAAAAAGCTGGATTAAATGATTTTGAAATTAGTATGGAAGAATGAATATCTACAAATAATAGGAAAGAAAGTTTAAATGAATAGAATTTATTTTATCAGATAATACATAGGGATGTAAAGTATATAATATTGTATTAACTATGTATGGTGCCTGATGGATTCTGCATTTATCAGGATGATCACTTTGTAAGTTATATACCGTATTTTTCGGACCATAAGACACACTTTTTCCCCCCCAGAAGTGGGGGGAAAAAGTCCCTGCGTCTTATGGTCCAAATATAGCCTACACATATACTTTAAAAAAAGTTTTTTTACTTGCCCGGCTCTGTGTGGTCTCTGTGTGCTTGCCCGGCTCTAAAATGGTTCTAAATGCTGCTGTTTACTTTACAGGGTTGATTACATGTGTTTATGACTGTGATGTTGGGTTTTAATGCACATAAAATATTTTAGGACACTATTTGTTTCAGAATCTTTTTTTCTTCATTTCCCTTCTCTAAAAACTGGTGCGTCTTATGGCCCGGAGCGACTTATGGTCCGAAAAATACGGTAAGTGTTTTATACAGTATAACTATACTTTATACCTGAAACAAATATGTTGTATGCCAATTGAATCCTATATAATAAAAGCCTACTATGCTAAGTATCCAGTCATCAGGTTGTCCATTCAATTAGATGTAATATGCTAATGATATGCTAAGGCCACTCAACTGCTCACTATAACATGCACTGACCACCAGGGGCAGACACTTCCACCTGTAGGTAAGCTTGCTGCTGGGGTCCAGCAAATCCAGACTGAGAGAGATGGACGGGACATGCCCTGGTACCCTTCCACAATCCCTCCCCAGTTGACCAACCTCCTGCTCCCCTCCCCTGTCCTGATTGTGCACCAATGGGGTCCCTCTACCTGGCCTGCACCCTGTCGCAATCTGGGACACCTCAGGGGATGTCCAAGAGCACGTTTAGGCCAGATCCTGCTCAATGCAGGAGCTGCCTCCAGTGGTCAGTGCACTCCCACAGGGAGCCAGCCACAGCAGTGGTAGTGGGTGCCTCTCCTGCCTCTGCGGCAGTGCACCAGATCTCTAGTTAAAAAATAAAACACTATTAAAAGCTGATTACAATGAAGTGATTATATTTACTTTATATTAATTTTGTCTTCATGGATATAAGTATTCCCATTCAAAGCATTCTTTCACAAACAGTTTTGTCCTTTTGAGGTCTTTTAGACAGGGTATGTGTTGTTTTTCAAGTGGGTTCTGCATGTGCCTTGTGATTCTATGTATTATATTTTGTGGCTAATGTTAAGTGCATGCTATTTCCCCCCAGATTTTTCTTGGGGGCTTTAACCATTTTTTTTTTATTATATCTTCACTCTAGTTTACAATTAAGAAAATATCTTATATATTTATCTTTTGGTTTCATATATACCTGTACCATATACTTGGTACTTTTTAATAACAGCAACATTTTTTGGATAGTTTTCCAGGAAAAACAAAGTTTATCATGCAGTGCTTTTGCAGATTTCATGTTTATGTTAAATGTTTAACATGTTTTGATATTTGTGAATTAAATAAAGGTATGAGAGCTTTATTTATTACATGAAATATTAAAAAAATGATAACAATATTGCTCATCTAGTCCATGAAAGGCCTTTTCCTTCCAAGTTTATTATTATGTAACTTGACTTCAGGTATTACCCACTTAATTGCATCAGATATGGCTCCATTTTTTTCAAATTGAAGTTTACTTTAATTTTAACTTGATTCCTATATGAAACTAATATTTGATGCATCTATATACTTCCTTTTATTTTGTATAAGAAGCAACTATCTTTAGTGAAACAGCGGGAAATATCAGAAAGGTAAAAAGAGGTTCTAATGGAAATTATTTGTTATCATTGATAAAAGAATGAGATCAAAACAAATATTTTTGAATATTGATCTTTGTCTACTTATTTCCTACCTTTTTCCTTATTCTTTCTCAGATAGTTTGTAGGTTTCTCTTATTCATCTAAAGGACATCTAAAAGGCATGCTCCAAAATGCAATTCTAGAATTTATTTTTATTTATTTTTTGTTCCCATTTTTTTTATCTTATCTAGTGTCACAGTTGTAAATATTCTTCTTAGGTTGAAGATATTCACATTATGTCTCAAACTTGGTCCCTTCCATAAAATTTTAACTCCTAGTCAACAATTTTATTTGCATGTCATATAAGCATGGTGTCTTATCTCCAAGATATGCTCATTTTGACACACTTCCCTATCTGAGTAGATGCAAACTTATCCTTCATGACTCAGAACCCTAACTTTATAATTATTCTTTATTCCTCTCTCTTTCATCACATATTCAATCGATCAGTGAGTCTTATTAACACTTCATTTAAAATATTTATAGAATCTTATCAAATCTTATTTTCAGAAAGTTTTATTTTATTTTATCTTTTGTGCTATACCTATTTCCAAAATCATTTTTATAGACTTCTATCTAGCCAGGGTAACATTCCCCCCCAGTTTGATTTCTAATTGTCTAAAAAGATTAGAGAGGATTTTTAGGAAAAAAGGCTGTGCCATCAATTAGGCCAGAAAGAGACTCCCTGAAATGACACATGAAGACCCACCACTCTGCTATAATTAGTCTAGACTTCTCTCATAGATGTAAACTAAGGGTGCCGTTGTCACACACAGGACATAGCTTTTTCTTATTTGACCTTTGATGTCTACCCACCATGCTTCTGAAGGTGATATATTGGTCAATAATAAAAAACTGCACTTTAGTTTCAAATTTTACTTATTGTTGGCTTGACTGGCTTCTCTCAACCTCTGTTTACCTACAAATGGTCATAATAATGCCTTCTTACTGAATTTTCAGAAAGTTTTATTTTATTTTTTAAATATATTTTATTAATTTTTTTACAGAAAGGGAGAGAGACAGAGAGGTAGAAACATCGGTGAGAGAGAAACATTGATCAGCCGCCTCCTGCACACCTCCTAGTGGGGATGTGCAGCAACTAAGGTACATGCCCTTGACCAGAATCGAACCTGGGACCTTTCAGTCCACAGGCTGATGCTCTATCCACTGAGCCAAACCAGTAAGGTCAAAAATCTTAAAGGTAGTGTTTGTACTTTAAAGATTTGTTCTCCTACTAATGAAACTAATTTTTGTGATAAAATGTCACCAAAACCATGATGTATGATTATACTTCTTTCTAAGATAAGTATATTCAGGAAGGTAAGTAACATCTTTTAAGTCACTGAGCTAGAAACTTGTTAAGCTTATACATGAATACTATGAATAAAGATGGGCTCTGTAATAAAATCAGTGCCAAAAAACCTCACAGGCTAATTTGGTCATAAAGTCCTAACTGGCAGGTCATGGTGGATAGTCATACCCTAGGCTTATAACTTGTTTAGTAAAATATTTTCTTTCACTTTAGGCAAGACTTATCCATTGCCTTTGTGCCTCTTGGTTAACAGACCTTTGAAATGCCAGAGTAATCCCCTTTGAAGACTCCTGGGAGGCATAAGCACCCTCAATGGATCACACAATCTCGTTAACTATTCTGTAATCTAATCACAGAGATTTCCCTGCCTTGCTCTCTCCCACCTCCATGTCATCTTTCTTATGTCCAAATATATAAAGAGAACTGAAAAACTGTCCTTCTTGTGAGCATATTAGATCTTGCTTCCAGGCACATCATCAGTTTGGCTAAATAAACTCTTACAAAAATTCTCCACAATTTGGACATTCTAGCAATGTTGTAAGGGTCTAATGAGATAATGCACTTTCCTTTAAAGCTGTAAAGTGTACCCAAACCTATAACAATTATAAAGAGTCACATTGAAAGAGTGCTTGATAATGTACAAAGCTTTTTAACATGAATTATCTCATTTATTTTCTCTATATGTTGCTTTATTGACAACCAAACCCTGCCAAACACTCACCAGCTAAGATGATCTTTATTTGTTTCTCTTCATCTGATAGAGGGTTGCGAATGTAACAAATCATATCACCCTGTGATTTGTATCTGAGAAGAGTCATCTTGATGTGGAATAATCCAGCTCCATCTTGTGAATAGGACAGTGATGAATGTGGAATTACCTCTCCCTTGCTGTCCCTGCACACCATCTGGGGCTGTGGGAACCAGCCTCCTGAGTTACACTCCACCATAAGTCCATGAATTCCAGGAGCCTGAATATGAATCTGTGTCTCCAAGCCTAATGCTAGGTAAGTGAGACAGAAATCAAAATAGTTATTGTACTGAGGTTGAGTTGAAAGATGAAAGGAAAAAGTGTCTTATTAATCTTGTATTCTGCAATATAAGAAGAAGTAACACTCAAATCTATATCTAAGCTACATGGTGGACTATTTTTGGTTACTCGGCACTGTTTATTTATTGCATAGTATAATTTTGCATTAGATCTAGTGGTTCATCTTCTATTTAGAACACTTAAGATACTTTGTAAAACATAAAAAAGACAATAAATAAAAATGATATATTTTCCACATATTTCAGCTCACAAGATCACTGATATGAAATGCTTCACCATAAACATACCTGCTACATTCAGGTCCATGCTTGCCACATTGCTGAAGTTGCTGTCCTTAAAGGAGCACTGGTATGTTCCATTATCAGAAACACGGATATTATGAAGTCTGAGCGTCACTTTGCCCTCCCCAATTGCTTCTTTCACAAACTCTGTGCGATCCACATATTCTGAGGAAGCTTTCCCTTTCACTTCATGACCATCTCTGTATAGGTGAACAAGCTTACTAGTAGAATGGTCACCCTTGAACCAGGACACCTCCATATGTTTTGCACTTTGTGGTGGGGACAACTGGCAGCTAAACTCAGTTTGTCCTCCTACCATAGCCACCAAGTGTCCTGTGGGAATGGTCACTGTCCACTTTTCTGTAGAGAAAAATAGAAAACTATAGGGTGAATTTCAGGCCAACTACATTTTTGTTGCTTTATATTAAAGGACACACTATTATTCCCATCACACATTCATATTCTAAATATTTAGCTCTGAACATATCTGTCTAAATCAATATTTTACTTATTTAAAATATCTATGTTACTGCATCATTTTATTTAACATATATTTACTTGGCTTCTGAGAAGATGGCAGAGCAAAAAGCACCAGGAATCTGAATCTCTACTTAGACAATAATTGCACTGGCAGAATCTGTCTGAGGTAACTATTTTAGAATTCTGAAGTCTATGGAAGGCCTTCAATTTTCAAGGGAAAGCTTGGATGGTAAACTGCATCAATTGTGATCCATTTTAGCTCATATCACAGCAGCATCTACCCAATCTTCACCTTTAGCCCAATGGCAGGCAACTGTGCAACTCTCCCTGGAAAGCGTATCCATAGTTTTCACATAGCTTATGGGATCCTGTGTAAGATCAAAGGACCCTGCCTTTCAAATACTGGGAATCTGTGCTGTCATCTCTGATAGTTGCTCCCAATCACAGAGATTGGAGGTCAAAGAGGCAAGTATTGTACCTTCTATTTTTTCAAGCCACACCTCTCTAACTGAAGTAACATTCTGGGAATTTAAAGGGCCAGCATCCTTTCATTCACCCCTTTATTTTCCTCTTTTTCCCCTGCTGAGCACCAGACATTAAAGATTAGTACATTCAAAAGCAAGTGCATATATGGGGAAAATTAGAAAGTGACCACATATGTTCAGGAAAGGGGATAGGCTCAGAAAAGACCCAAGGAGACTAAAAGTTTATATCTCAAGCTGATCCTGGTCACATCAACAGCCTACAACAATAAAACAAAACAAAACAAAACAAAATAAGAACAATAAAGAAAACAATAATAATAAAAAAAAGACAGCAAATCCTGGAAAAGTTGGGGACTCATATTTTGAGTTAACACATTAGATTTCAATATCCAGTTTTCTTTTATAAAAAATCACAAAACAGCCAAAACTGGTTTGGCTCAGTGGATAGAGCATTGGTCTGTGGACTGAAAGGTCCCAGGTTCGATTCCAGTCAAGGGCATGTACATTAGTTGTGGGCACATCCCCAGTAGGCGGTCTCTCATCAACATTTCTAGCTCTCTATCCCTCTCCTCTCCCTTCTTCTCTGTGGAAAATCAATAAAATTTATTTTAAAAAATCACAATACATACAAAGAAACAGGAAAATATGGCACATTACAAGGATCAAATAAATAAACAGAAACTGTCCTGAAAAAAGACTTGATGGCAGATCTACAATTATAGACTGTAAAACAACCATCTTAAAGATACTCCAAAAACTATAGGAAGAAGTGAGATAGTTAACAACAACAAAAAATATATGAATGAAATGGAAATATAAATAAAATGAAAATCTAAAAGAAAGCAAAATGGAATCCTAGAGCTGAAAAAACACAACTGAAATAAAAAAGTCAGTAGAGGGATTCAATTGCAGATTTAAACAGGAAGAAAAATAATCCATTAACTTGAAGACAAGACAACAGACATTATTAAGCTGGAGAACAGAAAAAACAAAGATTGGAAAAAGTGAGTGGAACTTAAGGGGGTTTCTGGTACATCATTAAGTAGACCAATATATTTATTGTGGGAGTCCCAAAAGGGGAAAAGAGAGAAAAAAGGGGGCAGAGAGAATATTTTATATAATAATGACTGAAAATTCCCAAATGTGATGAAAGACATGACTATAAACATCTATGAAGATCAACAAACTCTGAGATGAACTCAAAGAAAATAACAAATAAACACTTTAAAGCCAAAAACGATTTGGCTCAGTAGATAGAGCTTCGGCTTGCTGACTGAAAGGTCCCAGGTTCGATTCTTAGTTGCGGGCACATCCCCAGTAGGGGGTGTGCAAGAGGCAGCTGGTTGATGATTCTCTCTCATTGGTGTTTCTAACTCTCTATCCCTCGCTCTTCCTCTCTGTGAAAAATCAATAAATTACATTTAAAAAAAAAAATAAAGTCAAACTTTTAAAAGAAAAAGATAGAATCCTGAGAGCAGCAAGAGAGAAGCAACTCATCACTTATGAGGGATTATAAATATATTTCTTATCAGAACTTTGGAATCCAGAAGAAGAAGAAGAAGAAGAAGGAGGAGGAGGAGGAGGAGGAGGAGGAGGAGGAGGAGGAGGAAAGAGAAAGAAAAAAAGTACTCAAGGTAGTTACAGTAACTTGAAACTATATGAAAAAATAAAGTATCCAATAAAGATAAATACATGAGCAGGAATAAAAACTATTGTTATTTTAACAATGTTCTCTAACTCCACTTTTTGTTTTCTGTGTAATTTAAGAAACTAATAGTTTTTTTTAAGTTATTGCACTAAAAGCTAGCATTATTGCAACTTTGGTTTATATGTCCACATTTTGCACTGTAAATTATAAGAGCCTAATGTAATTAAAATAATTATTAGTTTATGTCTTAGGGCACACAATGTATAATTTTGTACCTTCAACAAGTGAAAGGAATAGGTACAGAGCAGTTAAAGAAACAGTTTTTTAAAATCTTATTAAATTTAGGCTGTTATATATTCAAAATAGAGTATTATACTTTCAGGATGTTAATGTAATTTCTATGATAACCACTCAAAAATAGCTATAGAATATGTAAAATAGGAAATGAGGGAGGAATTTAAACTATTTATACAAAAACTCAATTAGATACAAAAAAATGGGGGACAATAAAGCAATATAGCATACAAAAAAGAAATAACAAAATTGCAAAAGTAAGTAATTACTATAAATGTAAATGGATTAAAATATCCAATCAACAGACAGAGCTAGAAGAATGAATATGTTACTTACAAAAGACTCACTTTAGATCCAAATACTCAAATAAATTAAAAGTTAAAGAATGGAAAAAGATAAGCCATGGATGAGGAAAAGATAGTGATGATTGCACAACATTATTAATATATTTAATATTAATGAACTTTACACTTAAAAATAACTAAATAGTTAATGTCATTTTATGTGAATTTTACCACAATAACATTTTTTGTTGATTTTAGAGAAAGGGAGGTGGGGGGGGGAGAAGGGGAGGAATATTGATTTGATGTTCCACTTATTTATGCATTCATTGGTTGATTCTTATATGTGCCCTGACAAAGGATCAAACTCACAATCTTGGTGTATTGCCAATATGCTCTAAACAACTGAGTAACCCAGCCAAGACCGCAGTGAAAATATATGCTTGATGGAAAATAAAACCACATAAGGCAAAAAAGAATAACAGCAAAGAACAAAGACAACAAATAGAAAACAGTAAACAAAAATATGTTAGACATTAATAAAGTTATATCAATAATCACTTTAAACATCAGTGACCTAAATAAACCAATTAAAACACAGAAATTGTCAGTGATTCAAAAACAAGATCCAATAAAGTGTTGTCAACAATAAACCCAATTTTAATATAAATAATTTCAGTTTTATAAGTGGAAAAGTGTGACATACAAAACAGAACATGTTACCCAGCCTTAAAAAGTAAAATCTTGTCATATGCTACATGTATGAACCTGGAAGAAAATACATAAAATTTAATAAGCCAGTCACACAAAGACAAATATTGCATAACTCCACTTATCTGAGGCATCTAACATAGTCAAACTCACAGAAGCAGAGTAGAATGATAGCTGTTTTTTTGTTTTGTGATTGAAAGGAGGGGAAAACGAGGAGTAGTTTTTAAATAAGTATTTTGAAAAACATTATATTACTTTATGGATAATGCAAATATCTTATAATAACTAAGAATTCCTAGTATCTTTCTCCATTTCTTTGCATCATCACTGTCATTCACTTCAGTTATACATAAACTATAATCATTGATTACATTGTTGCTATTATTATTTTGAACAAACTATTATTTTAGGTCTATTAAAAATAAAAAAAATAATATTGCCTTAATTTATTCCTTCCCTATTGCTTTTCTTTGTTTTATGGAGATCTGATTTTCTGATCTGTCTCACATTTCTTCTCTTTGAATAACTTAACATTTCCTATAAGCTCTATAAGTGAACTGGGTGGGTCCCTAGGTTCCTGTATTCTTTAAAAAAATTTTTCTTTAATTTTCTGTTGTTTTAATATTATATGCCTCGATGTAATTTTTTAGTGTTTATCCTGATTGGTGTTCTGTACGTTTCCTGGATCTATGGTTTGGTGACTGATATTAATTTAGGGAAATTCTTAGTCATTATTATTTCAAATATTTCTTCTATTCCATTCTCTTTTCCTTTTTGTTCTGTTATTGCCATTATACACATATCACATTTTTTATAGTTGTATCACAGTTATTGGATTTTCTCTTTTTAAAAACCAAACTCATTTTCTATTTGTTTTTAAGTTGTTGTAGTTTCTATTGATATTTTTTCAAACTCAGAGATTCTTCCCTCACTCATGTCTAGTCTGTTATTGAGTCTATGAAAGGCATTCTTCATTTATGTTACATTTACATTTATGTTACAGTTTTTTCCTCTATAATTTTTTTTTGCTTTTTGTTTTTAGTGTTGAGCAGCCAAAGTGTCATTCAGTAGATGAGTGAATATAAAAGCTGTGGTACATTTACATAATGAAATACCACACTGCCATAAAAAGAAATAAAATGTTATCCTTTGCAACAGCATGGGTGGAGCTAAGGAACATTATGCTAAGTGAAATAAACCAGTCAGAAAAAGACAAGTACCCTATTCACTCAAATGTGGAATTTAATGAACAAACAGAAATACCAAACAAAGTAGATACAGACTCATAGATAGGGAGCAGGCAGACAGCTCTGGTTGTGTGTGTGTGAGGGGGGCAAGGGTTGGAGGAGTATTGGGGAGAATGGAGGGATTGAACAAAAAAAGAAAGAAAAGAGAGAATTCACAAACATATGAAAATGGTGTGGTGATTGCAAGAATAGGGGTGAGGAGACATGGAAGTGGAAGAGGAATAGAGAGAATAAATGGTGATAGAAAATATAAAATTTAAAAATAAAAAAAGAGCCGAAACTGGTTTGGCTCAGTGGATAGAGCGTCGAACTGCAGACTGAAAGGTCCCAGGTTCAATTCTGGTCAAGGGCATGTATCTTGGTTGTGGGCACATCCTCAATAGGGGGTGTGCAAGAGGCAGTTGATCAATGTTTCTCTCTCATCGATCTTTCTAACTCTCTATCCCTCTCTCTTCCTCTCTGTAAAAAATCAATAAAATATATATTTTTTAAAAATCTTAAAAAAAATAAAAAATAATAATAATAAAAAGAAAAAAGAAGCTCAGTTTGGCTCAGTGGATAGAGCATTGAAGGGGCCCAGGTTCTGGTCGAGGGCACATAGCTTGGTTGCAGGCTTGATTCCTAGCCCTGGTCAAGGCACATGTGCGAGGCAAACAATCAATGTGCCACTCTCACATCAATGTTTCTCTCTCCCTTCCTTCCTTCCTTCCTTCCTTCCACTCTCTCTAAAAACCAATGGAAAAATATCCTCGGGTGAGGATAAACATAAACAAACAAACAAACAAACAAATGCCATATTTCAAAATTGTTTTTCCCCCTTCCTAAAACATGATGTGATTTTTCTCCAATATTCACTGTTAGATCCTAGTAAAAATGCTGGAGGTAAAATTTACAAAAGTGAGTTCTCCCATGACTGAGCCTTCCTGGATCTTTTAACCCTCAAACTTGTCCACACTGAGATTCCAGCAATTAAGTAATTACAGCTTAGATCTCCTAACCCTGGTACTGGTTTCCATTAGATGTTTCTGATGTGGATGGAGGTTGAGTCTCTAAACTCTCCACTTGTCTAACTCTCCCATTTGTCCTATAACCTCACTTCCCTGTTGGACCTAAAAAGACATTGATTTTCAGGTTTTGGTGGGTTGTTTTTTTTGTTTTTTTCAGATTTTTAACTTGATGTTAGGATGCATGGATGACTTCCAAGGTCTTTACATGCTAAACTGGACACTGGAAGTCTGTCCTGGGTTTTTCCATAACTGTGACTCAATAAGAAAAGAGTAGATGTCCTTACCTGATGTTGATGTCATCACTTGTAGGAAAAGAAAGCCCACACAGTACCCAGAAAAAGAAGAGGATTTAAGCTTCATCATGCCTGGGGGGAAAAGCAAGGAGAAAGTCACAGACTATGAGATATTTGTAGAAATTGTTTAGATACATTGAATTAATCAAGATCACAAAGAGGGACAATTTTGAAACTCTTCATTCAGAGTATAACTTCTCTCAGTGTTCAACAAAATGATCATGTCCACGCAAAGTGTTCTGATTAGAAAAGGTCTTCTCAGTCCCCTTTTCCCACTAAATCACACTTGCTTTTTATCTCTCTTTCACTTTGTGACCTAACCTACTAAGTGAACATTTCCTCCAGTAGGTGTAACAAATGGAATAGAAGAAACATCCTAAGTGAATATATTGGGGGAGGAAACCAAAATGTCAAGCACAAAAGTATGAATGTCTAAGCATGCATGGTAAAGTAAGGAAAGTATTTTTTGAATTCATGTTTTTTAACAATTAAGATAAAACTAAATTAAGGTGGTACTAAATAGCTTGTTAATAAATGTTTTCAATCCTCACCTGAGAAGTGAGAATATTTTTCCCTTTGATTTTTTTTTGGGGGTGGGGGTGGGAAAGAAAGAAGAGGAGGGAGGAAGAAGAGAGAGAGAGAGAGAAGAGAGAAACATTGATGTGAGAGACACAAAAATTGGTTGCTTCCCATACATCCTCCAACTGGGGGCAGGGATTGAACCTGCAACCCAGCTGCATATGTGTCCCTGACTGAGAACTGAGACATTCCAATAAGTGCAGGCCAATGCTCTAATGACTGAGAAACAATAAAAAAGGTGGTCAAACAATATATTTTGAAGTCCAATAAGATGTAAAACTTTATTAAAATCACAGCCTTGTACTAAAGAAATGATTCAATATCTCAAGGAAGAAATTCATATTAACAAAATCTATCTACTATTGAAAAAAAGAGGTTTATTTGTTCTATATTTATTATTTTCCAATGTGAAAACAAATTAAATTAATGGTGATTTATATTTTACTAGTGCCCTAGTGCATGGATTTGTACATATTGAAAAGGAAATTTTAAAAGGTGGCCAGCGGGGCGGGACTAGGCAAGAAAGGCTGGACATACCCTGGTGCCAATCTCTGTCGGTACCTCCCCAGCCAGCCACACCAGGGGTTTCTCAATAGCTCAGAGGTCTTCTGCAGAGTGAGCAGGATCCCTCTGGCAGGTGGGGTCCCTCAGCCTTTCCTGTGGAGGTTAAGCTGAAACCATACATATGAGGGGTTCAGATGTATGAGAGTTGTTATTGCTTGGTGGTCAGTATGCATCATATCTACTGGCCAGTCAGCCAGTAGCTTAGCCTTTTATATGTATAGATTATTTTACATATCTAACAGATATGACAAATGATTATCAATAACACTGGCCCATTAGACTATTCACATCCTAGCGTGTGGAGGTAGGTTGGTAGGTTGCCATACCACAAAGAAAAGCAGATTACAATTTTCAAAGAGATGTAATGATCTCTAGATCAGTGTTTCCCAACCTTCTCTCATGATGAGAATCACCTGGTGGAGTTGTTAAAACAACTCCTGAATCCCAACTAAGAAGTGCTAAACTAGAATTTTTGGGAACATATAGGTAAAATTGTATACTTAACTAGTGCTCTAAGACAGATTTTATATACAGAGCACTAAGTTAGGTATGCAATTTTACCTATATGTTCTCAAAAATTCTAGTTTAGCACTTCTTAGTTGGGATTCAGGAGTTGTTTTAACAACTCCACCAGGTGATTCTCATCATGAGAGAAGGTTGGGAAACACTGCTCTAGATGACTCCCTCCTTTACCATTCCTATTCAGAATCAGTAACTTGAATCTATGAAAGACAAGTGCTTATTTTTAAAAGCAAGTGATAAGAGAAATAAAAGCACATGTCTGTATTAAGACTTGTATCCAAGTGTGAATAATGGCTTTGTTTGTAATAGTTAACAACTGGAAGTAATAGTAACTAGAAATGGACAAACAAGTTGTGGTACATCTATATGATGTAATATACTTAACAAGAAAAAGGAATTAACCATTTTGCACACGTGTGAATCTCAAAAGGATTGTGTTGTGTTAAAGAAGTTAGACAGAAAAAATGGTCCATACTGAGTGAATACATGAAAAAAAAAATTCTAGAATTGCAAGTAATCTCTGTGGTTGCTTAAGGAGGGGAAAATGAAGAGGAAGAAATAATTACAAGCCTGCTTGACTTTTCCTTCATTTTGGGGAGTGATGGATATGTTTTTTATATTGATTAAAGATAGTTTCACAGGGTATACATATGTAAAACTTGAATTATTTACTCAAGCTATGCAGATTCTTGTATGTCAATTATATCGATACCTCAATAAATCTTTTTTTCAAGTCTACTTAAAATACGATTAAAATATTAATAGTAATATTTTATGAAGTATTTATATTTAATAATGGTACCATTTGTATCATGTCTAAAACATTGGCTTCACTGTAAGTTTTCTTTGAATTGTTTAAAAAAAGAGATAGGGACACTGTCTGGGTGGTTCAGTTGGTTGGGGCAGTGCAACCCACCGACTGATGTTTCTGTTTCTCTCTCTCTCTCTCTCTCTCTCTCTCTCTCTCTCTCTCTCTCTCTCTCTCTCTCTCTCTCTCAATAAAAGCACGTCCTTCGGTGATGATAAAAGAAGAGACTAGAAAAGGGGCACTATTTCTGGGACCCAGAGCAAAAAAAAACGGTTTTTCATTATTAACAAGCCAATACTAACATTTGAAAGCAGATCTCTTTTGAAACACCTGGCTGCCTGTTAACTTTCTAAATCCCCAATATCACTATTCTGTGATGAAAAGATTGGCAGTGAGACCTCTAACACCATGCCTTGTCCTTAATGTCATTCACAATCTGATCACGTACCTGAGCTCTAGGATCCAGGAGAAATTTCTTTTGGGTCCTTCAGAAAGTCACCTCAAGGTCTCAAGGTGATTCAGCAGTGTTCCTCCACCAACAGTTGGTAACAGCTACACTTCAGTCAAGCGGGCTCTCTATTTACCAGAGCTTCCACCTATTGCCTGTTGGAGGAACTATTTTCCCCTGACATCTGATATCAAAGTCCCTTCATAGGAAAACCAGCAATGTATCTGTTTCACGTATTATAAAATCTCAGATCTATTTGCAGCTAAACCTTGCATCACCAAGAGAACTCCATGTTATAGTTGCAAGAGACAGGTCCCAACATGACATGCCTTAGGCTGAGATAACATCTGAGCTCAGGAGTCTTTCTGCATGTTTTTCCCTCTGTTCTTGCCTTGCCGTCATAAGAATGCTGAGATGAACCTAAGGGGAATTCTTCCTTATTAAGTTATAGCCCTTTATGTTATCTTTGTAAACACAACTTAGCGTTTCCTCCTACTCATCCACCCCTATTGAACACGCCTTTCTACTCCCCTAAACCAGTGCTGTTTTCTTCCCGAAAACTATATTACTTCTAATTTTGAGAACAGCACAGACAAGGACCTGGAAAATAATGTTTCAAGTTTTTTTAAATTAACCAAACAATGGATTTTTAAAATTAAGCCTCCTGGATGAGGCTTAGATAGTCTTCTGCTGGAAATTATCTGGTCCATAGGTGACTTTTAAGGACTGTGTCCTAAAGAAGGAGTGGGAGCCCTGATTGGCATTCTCAGTGGTTAGAACATTAACCTAGGGACTGAAAGGTCATAGATTTGAATCCCTTCAAAGGTAAGTACCTGGGTTGCAGGTTCAATCCCCAGACCAGGTTGGTGTGTGTGCAAGAAACAACCAATCAATGTGCCTCCCTCACGTTGATGTTTCTCTCTTTGTATCTCTCCCTTTCTTTTGCACTCCCTCTAAAAATTAATAGGGGAAGAAATATCCTCAGGTGAGAATTAACCAAATAAATAAATAAATAAATAAATAAATAAATAAATAGGGCCTGAACATAGGTCACTAATACCACAAAGTGCAGGTGTAAAATGAGGCTATGGAGGACATTACTTACAAGTTGATAATGCATTGTCTCCAGATCTCAAACCACTACCAGTGTTTTGTGAAGCACCTCAGTACCAGGAAGCCCTAAATCTTCCTATGGTAGGGGTCTTAAGTAGAATTGTTTTTATAAATCTATTCTAAACTTAACCTTTGAACCTAAAATTTCCTGTTCCTAGTCTCCACCAAAATCTGATGCTATTCTTAGATAATAAGCAAGGAAAGAAGGCTGATACTTCTTGTCTGTGACAACTCACAGAGCCATGGTTTTACAACATCAGATATCTTTAGTTAATAGATTCTACACAATTTGCCAAGGGTAATAACTCTGAAGATAAGTATTCAGTTGATCCAGATAAACTGAAATTAACCAAATGCTATAAACATATTATTTCCTACCTCCTTTCTGTAACATTAGCTCTACCTCTGCCTCATCCTATTGATAGGATAAATTAGCCCTATCAAGATAGTAGGGTAACTATCAACTTTCCTTAATTGCTTTTCTTTTAACATCAGAAACCCAAACACTGTATAGAACTTTTAATTCTAACTCTGATTAAGTAACAAAGGTGGGAGCTACTGTCATTAAATAATTATAAAGCAAGAAAAATTTGCAAAATAATCTGTCTTTAAATTTTAGGAAATAAACACAAGAAAATCAAGTGATACAAGTCCTAAGATTGTCTCAGCTTTCTGGAGGTAATTTTTTATTGTGGGCAAAGGAACAGAAAACACAAACAAAATGCCAATAGGCCTGACTGAATTGAGAAGACATACTATGTCTCAGGGAGGCTAAGGTGGTAGGAAGATGTAAGGCTGACTTGTAGAAAGAAGAGAACTATGAATAAAAATAGTACCAGAACTTTTCAAATAAAGCCCTTTGGAAAAGTTTTGACTATTGAATAGCACATATGAAAACTAGGCAAAGAATGATCAACATTGCCTTAATGCGAGTACCAATGAAAGAGAATAAAGAGCCTAGTAACAAACCCATATATATATATATATTTAAATAACAGAAATATATATATAATTAAATAACAGAAATAAATATATAATTAAATAACAGAAAAGAGTGCTAAGATCATTCAATGAATAAAGGAGAGTCTTTTGAACAATGAATAAAGGAGAGTCTGGGAAAACTGGATATCCACATGCAAAAGAATGAAGTTGGACTTGTGCTTCTTCATATATAAAACCAACAAAATTGATTAAAGACCTATGAAAGCTAAAATTTTATGACTCTCAGATGAAAACATAGGGGAAATTTCATGATATTAAATTTGACAACGATTTATTGATTATGATGCCAAAAACACAGGCAACAAAAAAAATTGATATATTTGGCCACATCAAAATTACACTGTGCATAAAAGGGCAAAATTAACAGAGTGAAAGGCAACCCATGGAATGGAAAAAAGTATTTGCAAATCACATACTGATAAAGATTAATATCCAGAGTATATAAAAGATTCCCAAAATAACAATAGCAAATTATTTAAAAATGGGCAAAAAGGTTGAATAGACATTTCTTCAAGGGAGATATACAAACAACCAGTAAGTGCATGCAAGGATATCAACATCATTAATCAGTAGAAAAATACAAATAAAAAAACACTACCTCATACTCATTAGGATAACTACTATAAAAAAAAAAACAGAAAATAAGTGTGACAATGATGTGGAGAAATTGAAACTTTTGTGAATTATTCATAGTAGTTAAAATATAGAGATATCCCTTCACTTAGGATGGAGGTCATGTCCTAATAAATCCATCTTAAGTTAAAAATATTAAGTTGAAAATGCATTTAATACATCTAGCCTACCAAACATCATAACTGCCCTGGCTGGTGTGGCTCAGTTGGTTGGGCATCATCCCATGCACCAAAAGGTTCCCAGTTCAATTTCTGGTCTGGGAACATGCTTAAGTTTTAGGGTCAATCCCTGGTTAGGGGCATGCAGGAGGCAGCTGATTGGTGTTTCAGTCTCACATAGATGTTTTTCTCTTTCTCTCTAAAACTTGATTTAAAAAATTTTTAGAAAACCTAAACCCAAACATCAGAAAAGCTTAGCCTATCTTAAATGTGCTCAGAACACTTACATTAGACTACAGCTAGGCAAAATCATCTAACACAAATCCTATTGATAATTCCCAATATAAAGAGAAAGTATCATACTGCGTATCGCCAGACTAGGAAAATACCAAAATTCAAATTTTGAAGTACGGTTTCTACTGAATGCACTTTACTTTTGCACCATCAAAAAATCATAACTCATACCATCTATGCCCACTGCTGAAACAGAAAAAGCAAAATGTGGTATTTACCTTCAATGCAGTATTTTTCAGCTTAATTCTGAAATATGTTATGACATGGAGAATCTTGAGGAAATTATGCTAGGTGAAATAAGTCAGTGAGAAAAAATAAATACTGTATGATTCCACTTACTTGAGTTACTGAGAGTAGTCAAATTCATGGAGACAAACATAGAAACCTGACTGCCATGGGTTGGTGGGAGAGAGGAATGGGACTTATTGTTTATTGGATAGAGAGTCTCACTTTTTAAGATGAAAAACTTTCTGGGAATAGATGGTGATAATGGTTCCACAACAATATGATTGTACTTCATCATTAAATTGTATGCTTAAAATGGTTAACATGATACATTTTGTTACATGTATTTTACCATAATTTTTTTAATTGGGAGGGGGTGGACTATAGACTTCAGACTAGCCTAAATTAATTCAGTGGGTGAAATTATACTGAATTTTAGCCTAACAATAAGTTACTTTGTTCATCATGGTAAAATTAAAATTCTAGTTGAATAAATAAAATTTTATGATGGAGAGTTCAAAAACAACATAAAGTTATATTCAGCCAAAACCGGTTTGGGTCAGTGGATAGAGTGTCTGCCTGTGGACTGAAGGGTCCAAGGTTCGATTCTGGTCAAGGGCATGTACCTTGGTTGTGGGCATATCCCCAGTAGGGGGTATGCAAGAGGCAGCTGATCAATGCTTTCCTCTCATTGATGTTTCTAACTCTCTATCTCTCTCTCTCCCTCTCTGTAAAAACTCAATAAAATATATATTTTTAAAATAAAAATAAAACAACATAAAGTTATATTCAGATAAATGTAATCATCCCACTTCTTTTATGCTTTCTACGTGTTCTCATCCTCATTGCTCCTATTTATCACATAAATTCTAGAGTGTTACTAGTAGTCTTTGGCATTGGGTATTTCTAAGTTTTATTTGACTTATTTTTTATTTGGACCAATATTTGAATAGAAAAGGCTTGACAATTTTTTTCTTTACATTTCCCAAGTTTTTATGATTTGTCTATTTGTATTTTGTTGTTGTTAATCCTTTCCAAGAATAGTATTTTTCCATTGATTTTTTTTTTTTAGAAAGAATGGAAGGGAGGGTGGGGAGAGATATAGAAAGGGGGAGATATTTATCTATTTGTATTTTTGTTAACAATTTCTTTTTTATGGCACTTGATAAGTCAACCTGTTCTTCCCCATTTCTCCTTCAGATAATTTAGTAAAGTTGTTATTCCTGGTTAACAAAGAATCAGAAATGGAGTCAGTACTTAATAAATGTTAATTGCAATCATTCCGAATTTTAGAGTTCACTTGCCACTGGGGTAGACATTGGATTAGATGATGGAATTTTTAGTCAAAGAGATTATTTTAGGTGATCATTATTGTAATATAGTCGAGAAGTTGTTGTACATGCAAATCATACAAGAGTTGATGGTATGCTTATTTTGCAAATATCCTACAAGGTCTTTGAAAAAAGTAAAAATAGTAATATCTAACAAATACTCAGTGTCTCATATTTGCCAGGTATTGTGTCCAAAGTCACACAGCCAGTATACAATAGACTTGGGATTAAAATACAAGACCTGTGTGACTCTCAAATCTGTGCTAATCTTACAGTCCTTGACTTCCTGTTTGTTTTTGTTTTTTTAAATCACACTTAAACATCTCACCCCTGATTCTTTATAAATAGCATGTATTTTCCACATGGTATACATGCCTTTTTATTTGCTGTCCTCCAATAATTAGTAATCATGAATAACATCATTCAGCACACCTTTTCCCACTTAGTATATATGACTTTTGTGTAGGAGTTTCCTTTGAAACTTAGATCTCAGACTATTTATTTACTGAGGAGAAGAGGTTCATTTCCAATTCAGCACCTTAGGAAAAAATACATCTGACTAA